AAACACGACCAGCGCGAGCAGTGCGGACAGGCGACGCAGCACGAGACACAGGCAACACAGGATGCGACTCAGGCTCACGGTAGGGCAGTGCGGCTCGGTAGGGCAGTGCGGCTTGGTAGAGCGGCGCGGCTCAGTGGGCAGCGCGGCTCGGTTGGGCGGCGCGGCTCGGCTGGGCGGCGCGGCTTGGCTGGGCGGCGCGGCTCAGTTGGGCGGCGCGGCTCGGCTTACCAGAGACGGGCGTAGGGGCGGGCCGTGACAGCAGGGGCCGGCAGGGGCACGTCAGCAGGGGCGTGTCAGCAGGGGCGCGTCAGCAGGGGCCGGGCTAGTAGGGGTCACGCCAGCAGGGGCGCGTCAGCAGGGGCCGGCAGGGGCGCGTCAGCAGGAGCCGGTAGGGGCGCGCCAGCAGGGGCCCGTCAGCAGGGGCCGGCAGGGGCGTGTAAGCAGGGGCCGGCAGGGTCGCGCCAGCAGGGGCCGGCAGGGCGGCTAAGGGGCCGACGGGCGGCTAAGGGGCCGCGACGGGCGGCTAAGGGGCCGACGGGCGGCTAAGGGCCGACGGGTGGCGAAGGGGCCGTGACGGGCGGCTAAGGGGCCGACTACGGGCGGCTAAGGGGCCGCGACGGGCGGCTAAGGGGCCGACGGGCGGCTAGGGGGGCCGACGGGTGGCGAAGGGGCCGTGACGGGCGGCTGAGGGGCCGGCGACGGGCGGCTAAGGGGCCGTGACGGGCGGCGAAAGGGGGGGGGCGACGGGCGGCTAAGGGGCCGCGACAGGCGGCTAAGGGGCCGACGGGCGGCTAAGGGGCCGCGACGGGCGGCTAAGGGGCCGACGGGCGGCTAAGGGGCCGTGACGGACGGCGAAATGGGGGGGCGGGGCGACGAGCGGCTAAGGGGCCGTGACGGGCGACGAAAGGGGGGGGGGCCGACGGGCGGCTAAAGGGCCGCGACGGGCGGCTAAGGGGCCGACGGGCGGCTAAGGGGCCGACGGGCGGCGAAGCGGCCGTGACGGGCGGCTAAGGGGCCGACGACGGGCGGCTAAGGGGCCGTGACGGACGGCGTAAGGGGCCGACGGGCGGCTAAGGGGCCGCAACGCGCGCTTCGGGCAGGGCAGGAGAAAATTTCGTTGTGGGCCCTAAAAAAAAACGTTCCCACTAGGGAACCTGCTCAGAATACCATGTTAGAATAACGAACGGGATGAATGAACTAGGAAGCAGGTGGGTACAAGTAGGAAACCTAAAAGTGTTGTACCCTATAAGAACTACCCCACTACAGCCTAAACAGACTATAGCATATATAAGCTTGACACTTCTCCGTTCCTTCCATCACCTCCAGCAAGTCATTGTGGTCAAAGATGTTCTCCATCTTGAAGGACCATTCAGCAAAGTTGTCACCGTTGAACTTGTCAAGCCCAAACACCCTAGGCTCATCCCTAGGTGGGCCAAGACTTGGTTGCATGGGAGACATGGTGGGATCACGGGGTTGGCCTTGAGCTTGGGCTTCTCCACTACCACCAACACCTCTGCCACCCCTTTCCTCAGGTCCAGCTGTCAGAATCCCAACCACTAGTCCATTGGGATAAAAGGGCTTGTTAAGTAGCAGGTCAGTGCGCCCATAACCCCCCAGGACAACGAGCCTGTAACCCTTCCCTAGGATCAATCGGGGATCACCAGTGGACCTCTGACACCCCCCCGCACTGGGATGCCCGAAGTGCACACACTCGGATTCGAACCCGAGACCTTCGCTCTGATACCATGTCAGAATCCCAACCACTAGACCATTGGGATAAAAGGGCTTGTTAAGTAGCAGGTCAGTGCGCCCATAACCCCCCAGGACAACGAGCCTGTAACCCTTCCCTAGGATCAATCGGGGATCACCAGTGGACCTCTAACACCAGCAATTGTCGAAACTGCTTCAAAGGGCTCTGATACCACTTGTGATAGTCACAATAGGCTTGAATGTGCCTAAAACGAAAGATAGAGTGCATAGTCGGATTTCTGCACAGCGGCTTCAAACGTTGATAGCGTTCTTTTCACAGCTTCAAATGACTTGCTATAAATTGGATCTGGAGCGTCTTAATGTTGCCTACAATAGGAAATTCAGATCACACAATTTCATTACAAATGGACGACAGAACGTCGGTTTGAACGAACGGCACTATGGCAGCCACTATAGTCTTAGACCACAAATTAGGAAGAGTTATGAGTTGGGAATGACTCCCAGCCTCTATAAACCCCAGGAGCCGAGGTACAGTGATGTGGAACAGTGCCACACTGTCCCCAACCATGAAAGGTCTCGAAACTACCCTCCACAAGGGCCTACAACAAGAGAAATGTTACACTACACAAAGTAATGTAACTATTCTCACTATCTTAAAGTTTACCCTTTTGGAGAGCTACGAAATCACTTGAATCTTGAAACCATGGCACTGGTTCTTCAAGATAAATTCTTCCTTGAGTTCTTGAAAGTCTGCTGCACACACATGCGACACGCGGAACGTTCCACACACGAAAAAATAGAAAACCGCACACGACACGCAAACGACGACATGACACGCGACTAGCGATAACTCGCTATTGACTCGACACACACGTTAAAAACATGCCTCATCATTCTCACACTATTGTAACCATGAAATCTATATTATCTCATGCCCTCATACCATTCCATGCACACACGCATGCACGCACACGGACAACAAGCCGAATGCAAACCGTAGGGTTGCACCAACAGCCGCCACCCCTTCCACTCCCCTCCACATGGGCCACCACTCCCTCACTCTGCCTCCACAGCATTAGCCCAGCGGAGGGCATTGGTGGGCTGCTGAATGCTGAGGCGTTCTGTGGAGTGCTGGCGGGCTTGCTGGTGGGCTCGCTGGTGCTCTGGCAGATCCGCTGGTGCTCTGGCAGATCCGCAGGCGCGTTGGCAGGCGTGTTGGCATGCTCACTGGTGCGCTGGCGGGTCCGTTGACGCATTGGCGAGCTGATGGTTGGTTCGTTGGTGGGCTGGCTAGTGGAGAGCAGGGAGCAATGGCAGAGGACATGAGACAAGTCCATGGTGAGCCATGTGAAGGAGGTATAGGAGGGCAGGGTGACCTAGATGGTGGTGCCACAGGAGTGAAGGGTGAGTGAGTGACCGACATGAGCACGACGCAGCTACATGACAAGATGCAGTGTGCTGCGTGAAAATACTTGACGCATTGTCTTGGGGGGAATGTTGCAAAATGTGCCTCAGTGGCAGCGTCTGTACAGGTCGCAAAAAGCTTATGTTTATGAAACGTGGTGGTGACACTGAGGTCCTGAATGTGACCAAACCCCACCAAGTTCCTACAGCACGAGGGGGTGTGTAGACTTGTGAGAGAGCCAGAGAGGAGTGCCGGGCATGGAAGTGCTGTAGCACTGCATGCGGAAGAAGCACGGGGAGGCACTAGAGTCAAGAGTGAAGGAGTGGGACGTGATCCTATATGAGACATGTCCATATCAAACAGTGCCAAACTCCAACATAACAGCGAAGGCCAGTCCGAAAGGGACGTCGTTGAACCAAAGTGGGCGCATAAAAGGTCGTCGAGGCAGTGCCCAATGGGGTGATCAGTGCGCTCGCAGACGGTGCTGCATAGTGGACCATACTAAATCTGGTACTTGCAGGACCTGGGAGAGAGGCCAAGCAATGCCTAGCTGTCTGACACACTACCGCAGCCACTGCTCCCCGGCCCAGCAAGTCCGTACGACTACTACGAGACCACTACTCGAGCTGCCCTTGCTGTTGCTGTGGCTGTTGCTGTTGCTACTGCTGCGGCTGCTGCTGCTGCTGTTGCTGCTGCTCCGGCTGCTGCTGCTGCTGCTGCTGCTGCTGCTGCTGCTGCTACTGCTGCTGCTGCTACTGCTGCTGCGGAGTCACTGTCCCACCCGCATTGGCACTAGAACCATCAGACTCACCAGAGATATTACCCTTGGACGTACGTGACCCCCCAGCGTACCAACACCTCCACTTCCTCGATGACCACAACCACCCCTGTTCCGTCCCCGCCAACCAAAGGGGGTAGAGGCAGCGACAACCTCCATCATAGGAATAGACTCAGCAACAGTAACAGAGACATCTGGGGTAGAAAATTGAGGCAGAGCGCAGTAGTGGAGGCTAATATCCGAAGGCGGGTCTCGATCTAAGTGCAACTACTCTAAATAAGATCGATAAGGAGGCACATGGAGTGAATGACAAGGAGCGCATTGCAGGCAGGCGCGAGGCGATCAGGGAGGTGAATTGCTAGGAAATGCAGAGTGAGATACATGGGAGGGGGGCGCTCAACAAGAGTGTCAGCGGTGCAAGCAGTGCGGAAGATAGCACAAGCGAGCGCAGGTGGGTAGTAAGGTCAGCAACAGTTGAGAAGACAGTGAAATCATGGAAGAGGAAGGGAATGAGAGGATGAACCTGATTAGTAGAGGTGGGGATGGAGTAGTGAGCAACATTAGCATCAAGACACGCCTTTGCCATCTCGACCTGCCAAAAGTGCACTCGCTCGGCCAGCGGCAAGAGGCGACTAAGAGCAAGGTGCGAAATGGCGTCACGCGACTCCCATACCAAGTATGCAATTAGGGCCACGCGGTGAGCCAGCGGCATGAGGCGACTAAGAGCAAGGCGAGCAGCAGCGTCACGCGACTCTTAGAGCGAGTATGCTAGTAGGGCCACGCGGTGAGCCAGCAGCAAGAGGCGACTAAGAGCAATGCGCGTAGCAGCGCCACGCGACTCCCGGACCAAGTATGCAAGCACGGCCACGCGGTGAGCCTCCTGCTCCTCCGACGTAGTCTCAGTACGAAGATCAGCAGGACGCTTGGGAGCAGGTAGCTCACCCAACATGTGGGCGTACATGTAGACGTCGCCCTAGCGCTGGCTCCGCAAGTGGAGCTTGACGTTGAGTAGCCACACGTTAAATTCGATCACCCGCCCCTCCGCATCGAGCCACAGTATGAACTCAGACGTCATTATAGTGGCAAGCAGGGGCACAATTATAGCAAATGAGAGGGGACAGCTGTAGGCAGAGGAGGAGACAACTAGAGGCAGGCAGGCAGACAGCAGGTGGCGTGGGTAGGTGCGGTGGAAGGCACAGCAGCAAGCGTGGCGGCAGGCGCAGTAGGTGGCGTAGCGGCACGTGCGCCGACAGGCATGGCGGGAGGCGTGCGGCAGGTGCAGTCAGTAGGCACGGCGGCAAGCACGACAAGAGACACGCGGCAGGCGCAGTCAGTAGGCACGGCGGCAGGCACGACAAGAGGCACGTGGCAGGCGTGTCGGCGGGCGCATTGCAGGCGTTGTGTCAGTCACGCGGCAGGTATGGTAGTGAGCAGTTGGGATTGGGGGGGCGAGGCCATAGCAAGGTGGCGGCAAGGTCGCGTCAAGGCAGCGACGATGCCGCAACGAGGCTGCGACGGGGCCATGACTGGGCGCCGGCAGCAGCGCGACAGGGCGGCGACGGGGCCACGATGGCAGGGACGAGGTGAGGTCACGAGGGGGGTCATGACGAGGCCTACGTGGCGCGACGCGGCTGAGGTGGGGGCACTACGGGGCGTGACGGGGCCTACGGGGCGCTACGGGGCCGTTAGAGGGGGGTACGCTAAGGGAGCGAGGTAGGTAGGTCGGGCCGTGAGCAGGCCCCCATAAGTCGGGAATTTTACGCTGATTTCGGGTTTAAAAACTGATTCTCAGGGTGTTTTTTAGCCCTTAGGCTCATAAAAAGGGTTTTTTTCCCTTATAACGTATTCTCCCGGCTATATGAACTAGGGGACTCACTGCAAAAACATAAAAACTAGTTAATTCGAACATGTTGGTGGCATGCAATTTTTTAGGACCCAGGTACACTTGCTTGTCTATTATATTTATATGATTTACCATGCACTATTCGTTTATCGGGGGGGGGGGGGGGGGGGGCTTTTGTGTTACATTTCTGAATCTACCACTTGGAGCACCACGAACACAATGTCTGGGGTGACACGCGTCCAGCGACAGGGCACGACGAAGGTTTGTCGCACAAATTTGGCGAACGGCCCGTCATCTTGACAGAACGGTACCCCAGCCTGCCCACGTCATTGTGCACATGGAGGCCAGGTTCATCCCCTCCTGACTCGAGTGTTTAACAGACCCAAGACGTGATGCGCGAGGGAGTTACGTCCAGTAGCCTGCCGAGAAGACGGTGCATGTCAAGAGCGCGGGCTACGCGAAAGAGAGGGTGAGTGTGATGCTTGGCATCATTGCAGATGGCCGCAAGCTCCCCGCAATTGTCATCTTCAGGCATAAAACCATCCCGAAGATCCGTTGGCATTCGTCGATCCAAGACCCTTCTAGTCTTAGATTCGTACCGGGGTTACCTCACAGATCGCGTGCTCGCGAACCTGAGGTGGAACCGGGTTATTCCGGCCATCATCCCGGGGGGGTGCACACCTCTGCTGCAGCCTCTCGATGTGAGCATGAACCACTCATTCAAGGCAGTTCTGCATCAACTATACAACAACTGGTTCGCCGATTCCGGCGTCAACACCTTCACGCCAGCAGATGTGTAAGGCCCTGTACCGACGCTTTTTGTCTTTCCTGCCGTACATTATTACAGTGGTTTAAATTCTATACTGTGCGCTCCGCAGGAAACTTGAAGAAGCCCCCCTGCGGTGCTTGTCCTCAAATGGATTGCATTTGACTAAGCGGTCGTGCCCGAGCACATCATCGACTCTGCCTTCCTCACCACCAGCATTAGCAATGCCGTTGATGGGAAGCAAGATCACCTCATCGTGGCCCACATGCGGGATGCGGGCGAGGTTGACGTGGCCGATGATGTTCACTCCGCTACTGAGGTGGAGGAGTGGGTGAACCCCCTCTTCGCGAAGCCGCTGAGGACGAGGAGACTGCTGTGGTGGCAGATCACAAGGATTGCGGGGACATGGCACCAGAGGAGGAGGAGGAGGAGGAGGAGGAGGAGGAGGAGGAGGAGGAGGAGGAGGAGGAGAAGGAGAAGGAGCAAGAGGGTGTAGAGGAGGACGAGGAGCAGGAGTGAGGAGTAGGAGGTGCAAGAGGATGATTTTGAGGAGGAGGAGGAGGAGGAGGAGGAGGAGGAGGAGGAGGAGGAGGAGGAGGAGGAGGAGGAGGAGGAGCAAGAGGGTGTAGAGGAGGACGAGGAGCAGGAGTGAGGAGTAGGAGGTGCAAGAGGAGGCACTAAGAGAGCGTAATGCATGTGTAGAATTGTTCAAGCCTAGGAATCGTTCAACTCTCCTCCATTCCCGTAATGCATGTGTAGAATTGTTCAAGCCTAGGAGTTTTTCAGCTCATAATTGTTCAATCACACCATGCCAGCAACTCATAGTTAGCAAATAAGGGCCATGTCTATGCAAAGTAACAACTCTGGGTACGCTCAGTAGGAAGCATGCGTTGAATCTTCTTTCACGGGCAAACTAACTCAGAGGTAGTGCTTTCCCTTACTCAGGCTTTTAGAGGAGAGTTGTCTGTTAACGGGAATGGAGTGTTGGCCCCGCCCTCGCTTGGGCAACGCCGACGACTTGGTCGGATGTACAGGAGTAGCAGCCGACCGTTCACAGTGGGAGAGCTGCTCGACAGGCTTCGTCGAGCTGCAGGGGACCGGTGTGGTGTTGCTGTCGACCAGGGAGCTCGACAGCTGCAACTGACTAGTCTGGGCGAACGGGTGGGCCGTCGACCAGGAGGGGCAGTTCGACCGGGAGGTCGACGGAGCAGTCCGTCGACCTGCAGTTCGACTGGGAGGTCAACGGTGCAGTCCGTTGACCTGACAAGTGAGCAGCGGTCGACGAGGGGAGCTCGGCGACAACAGCTGACAGTTATGGTCGACGGAAGGGGTCCGTCGACCAGGGGGTAGCTTGACGGGAGCTGTGGTCGACCAGGGGCACTTGGTGGTCGACCAGAGGGACCCGGTGGTCGACCAAAGGCACTTGGTGGTCGACCAGAGCACATGGGGTTGTCCAGGTCGACTGGGTAACCTGCTCGGCGAGTTCTGCGTAGGCACGCGAACGTCGTCGAGGTCGCGATGGCGAAGGCGACTTCGGGTTGGTATCCCGAAGTCGATGTGGATTGTCAGGCGCAGACAACAGCCAACGGATGCACAACGGTGCAAGTCGGGCCAATCGTCTGCGCGCACTTGCGAGCGTGCGCATTGCTGTCTTCTACGGGGCAACGCTGGACAGCCGCTCTGCTGCAGCGTTGGCACACCGTCGACCTGCTGTGTTGGCAGGTCGCCTTTCTGCAGTGTTGGCGCGGCTCCTCTACGCAACGCTAGCAGGCGGTCAACCATGCTGTGCTGTCGGTCGACCAGGCTATCTGCAGAGTTGCTAGGTGCCTGATGTAGTCATTGTTGTCATTGCTTGTTCAATTATTCTGTAATTCCAACTTTGCTAGTGGAAACGCTTGCCGATTTCTCCCGTGATTGTGCAAGCACTAAGGAAATAGGCAAAGCTACGATCACTCCTAGTAGTTCGTGCCAACCCCCGTAGTCTAGGTCACTACCGTTGTAGAGTGAATATCCGCATTGGCTACACTACTCTGGGCACGGCTCGAGAGGGGTCACCCCAACATTGCCCTATTCGGTTCTTTCTGACTAGTGCCCACCCTCATGTTGCGTGATGTTGCATTTTGTGCCTCATCTTCACCTGTAAGCGAAATTTGTTTCGGAGGGGGCGGTACTTCGGGTTGAGACACAAAAGTTTCACAAGATGAGTTTCGAAAACCCCTGCGCAACTTCCTTAACTTTGGCCCCTCGGCCCCCCCTAGGCCCCTCGGCCCCCCCTAGGCCCCCCGGCCCCTTGTTTGGCCCCGCGGCCCCTCAGCTCCTCGGTCCCACCTCACAGCACGGCGCCCGCCCCCCCCCCCCCGGCCCCTTGTTTGGCCCCACGGCCCCCTAGGCCCCTCGGCCCCCCTAGGCACCCCACCCCTTGTTTGGCCCCGCGGCCCCTCAGCTCCTCGGCCCCACCTCACAGCACGGCGCCCGGCCCCCCCCCCCGGCCCCTTGTTTGGCCCCTCGGCCCCCTAGGCCCCTCGGCCCCCCTAGGCCCCCCGGCCCCTTGTTTGGCCCCTCGGCCCCCTAGGCCCCTCGGCCCCCTAGGCCCCTCGGCCCCCCTAGGCCCCCCAGCCCCTTGTTTTGCCCCGCGGCCCCTCGGCTCCTCGGCCCCACCTCACTGCACGGCGCCCGCCCCCCCCGACCCCTTGTTTGGCCCCTCGGCCCCCTAGGCCCCTCGGCCCCCCTAGGCCCCCCCCCGGCCCATTGTTTGGCCCCGCGGCCCCTAGGCTCCTCGGCCCCACCTCACAGCACGGCGCCTGGCCCCCCTGGCCCCTTGTTTGGCCCCTCGGCCCGCTAGGCCTCTCGGCCCCCCTAGGCCCCCCGGCCCCTTGTTTGGCCCCGCGGCCCCTAGGCTCCTCGGCCCCACCTTACACCACGGCGCCCGGCCCCCCCCGGCCCCGTGTTTGGCCCCTTGGCCCCACCTCAGAGCTCTGTGCCCGGCCCCCTGTTTGGCCCCTCGGCCCCTATGGCGTCGCTTCGAGTTCTCCCGTTCGACCTGGAGGGCAGACCTGTAGCATTTGACACGTGGCACGACGATCTGCAACTGTACCTACTGAGCGACAGTCGGGACAGTGTCTCACTGTTTGACCACGTGTCCGGTGCCGCTCCAGCCCCTCCCGCCACAGCTGACGTTTTGACTCATTCCCAGTGGCTGTCTCGTGACGCTACTGCCCGCTTGGCCATTCGCAACCACCTGCCCGCAATCGAATGTGCTCACTTTGGCGAGCACAGGACAGCACAGGCCTTGTACGACACTGTCGTTGCTCGCTACTCCTCCCCTGCCACTGCTGCTATTGGCAGGCTGCTACTGCCCTACCTGTTCCCTGAGCTGTCGGCTTTTGCCACAGTAGCGGACCTGGTTACCCACCTGCGCACTAGCGACGCTCGCTACCGCGCCCCCGGCCCTGCTGAGTTCCTTCCCACGAACCAGCCCCCCATGTTCATCACCCTCTACTTCATAGTCACTCTCCTCCCTGACTCCCTTCGCTCTGTCAGGGACCACTTCCTCACCCTCGACCCCACTTCCCTCACTGTTGACCTCCTCGAGCAGCATCTCCTCGCAGCTGAGACTAGTGCAGTTGCTGTAGGTGCTGCTCGTGGCACCCCGCGCACACCCTTCTTTGAGGGGTGCTCCCCCTCCCCTCTTTCCTCCTCCTTCGCCTCTGCTGCTGCTGCAGACGTCTCTGTTCATGAGGACGTCGGTGCTGCTTCGACTAGTACGAAGTGCCGCAACAGCAAGGGCAAGGGTGGCCGGGGTAGTGGAGGAGGCAGCGGTGGTGGTGGAGGTGGCACTGGGCGTGGTAGTGGGGGCAGCGGTAGAGGAGGCGGAGGCAGTGGAGGTGGTGGCGGTGGTGGGACCGGTGGCGGAGGTGGAGGCTCTGGTGGCGGCGGTGGAGGCAGCGGAGGGAGTGGCGGCAGTGGAGGCGGTGGGACCAGTGGTGGTCGGTCTGGACCTCAGCGTTGAGGCCCTAGTGGTGGTCGGGGCCAGCAGCAGCAGCGTCGGAGCGAGACTGAGACACCTCAGCAGCTCCGTGAGTGGTTGGTTCAGCGTGGGGCGGGTGAGGGTAGTGAGACCTGCCCGTATGTCATTCGCACGGGCGCCCGTGCGGGCCAGACATGCGGGAGGTTTCACACTGAGCGCCGCTGCTTTGCCCGCCTTGACGACGCCTGGCGCACTGAGTTTGGTGATGACGTCGAGCGCCCTCGCTGGGCGGAGTTGCTTAGGTCGGGAGTTGCTATCTTTGACCTAGACTTTGATGTTATTATCTCTGCCATGTATGCTTTGTCTTTTACTGCTGAGGGTGACTGTTACTGGTGTGTGCCGCCTGACCCAGGTATAGCCGCTGCTGCTCTAGGTGCTAGTGCGTCTGGTACTCCCCCTGGTACTGCGCCTGCTGAGGCCCTACACACCTTCACGTTGGACTCCGGCGCCTCGCGCTGTTTCTTTCGTGACAGCACCACTCTCACTCCTCTTCCTGCACCTGTTCCGGTCAGACTGGCTGACCCCTCTGGGGGCCCGGTCGTTGCCAGTTCCTCCACTGTCCTCCCGTGTCCGGCGGTTCCGTCCGGCTCACTGTCAGGTCTTCACCTCCCCTCGTTCTCTACGAACTTGGTGAGTACCACTGCCCTTCAGGGTGCGATGGTCACTACCACCACTCCTGGGGGTCAGCGTGTGTCGATCTGCACGTGCACACGGACGGGGCGTCACCTGGCCACGTTCACTCGTCGGCCAGGGTCGAGTCTGTACACACTGGCTACTGAGCCTCCTCAGGTCGCTGCGTCTGCTCAGGTGTCCGCGTCGGGTCAGGTAGCCGCCTCTTGCTCGTGTCGCCTCCTGTCGCACCAGACTCTTCTTTGGCACCACCGCCTGGGTCACCCCTCCCTGCCACGCCTTCGTGGCATGCACTCCCGTCTCCTTGTCTCTGGTCTCCCCAGGTCTCTGCCTCCCCTGCCGCCCTCTCCTGCCCCGCCCTGACTTCTTTGAGTCGAGGGGCGGCAGCGCGCCGCTCCTCACTCCTCCTCGTTTCCCCCGACGACTGCTCCCCTGCAGACCCTCCACATGGACGTGTGGGGCCCAGCCCGCGTCAGTGGACAGGGCCACGAGCGCTACTTTCTGCTGGTAGTTGACGACTACACGCGGTACACCACCGTCTTCCCCTTGCGCAGCAAGGGTGAAGTCTCTGCTGTCTTGATCCCTTGGATCCGCACAGTCCGTCTCCAGCTGCGCGAGCGGTTCGGCTAGGACCTTCCTGTCCAGCGTCTGCACTCTGACAGAAGTGGTGAGTTCTCCTCCGACCTCTTGCGGGACTTTTGTCGTGGGGAGGGCATTCTCCAGTCGTTCACGCTTCTGGAATCCCCTCAGCAAAATAGGATTGCTGAGCGCCGCATTGGCTTAGTCATGGAGGTTGCTCGTACCTCCATGATCCATGCGACCGCTCCCCATTTTCTGTGGCCGTTTGCGGTCCGGTACGCTG